GTCTGGGGTCTGTGTCTGTACAGTCTGACCTCAAGCCTCTGTGTCTGTGCAGTCTGGGGTCTGTGTCTGTACAGTCTGACCTCAAGCCTCTGTGTCCGTGCAGTCTGAGCTCTGTGTCTGTGCAGTCTGGGGTCTGTGTCTGTGCAGTCTGACCTCAAGCCTCTGTGTCTGTGCAGTCTGACCTCAAGCCTCTGTGTCTGTGCAGTCTGGGCTCTGTGTCTGTGCAGTCCTGCCCGCTGGCTCTGAGGGACCTGCCTCTCCTGTATGTCTCTCTCACACACGAACAGTGAGGGCAGGCGCCTCTCTGCACTTCCTCTGGGACACCCCTTTGCTTGGACAGCACCTAGGAGGCTGTTTCCTTGCCCAGTGCTCCAGCAGCCCTGTTCCTTGTGTCTGTGCTTTCAGACATGATGGGGGATGAGAGTTCTCTCCTCACTGTGGTCCAGCATCTGGCTCAAGTTGATGCACAGCTTCAACGCTGCATTGATTTCTGGGAGAAGATGGATTCCGTTCTCAGCCTGCTTTCACAAAAGACGGAGAAAGGCAATCCGTATCTGAAGAAAGTGGAGGATGAGCGATACAGGGTCAAATATCTGAAGACTCTTGATGGCTCTGAAAAAGTAGGTGTATAATTTTTTCATGATTCGTGCTCTGAGTAGGTCAAGATCTGTTTAAGTCTCTTCTAGAAAAATCAGGTTGGGTCTTTATTCCTCAGGGGCTGTGGACATGTAAATTGTACAGTGTTACAGACGCTAATACTTCCAATACAGGACAGTGCTGTAGAACCCCAGAGTGACCTGCTTTTACTCCTTCTGCCCCTTCTGCAGCTGGGTTAGATCCTAATCAGTGGAGAGAGAGGAGCCATGCAGAGTGTATTAAAGGTCTCATGCATGTTTAATGAGCAGGATGTGAACCCCAATGTTCTAGCTGAAGTCCACTGTGGTCTCTGTACAGTCCCCCCTCACCCTCTCTCTCTCTCTCTCTCCTCCCCCTGACCAGTCCGGTCCCCCCTCTCTCTCTCCTCCCCCTGACCAGTCCGGTCCCCCCTCACCCCCTGTCTCTCTCTTCTCCCCCTGACCAGTCCGGTGCCCCCTCTCTCTCTCTCCCCTCGCCCTGCCCTGTGTGCAGGGGGCTGGTGTCTCCACCAGTGACTATGGCAGATGTGTGTTCAGCAGGGAAGAGGTGAGAGTGGTGATTCATGAGGTTCATGAGAGAGGGAAAGGGCTGCTGGTTCCCCTGACAGGTCTGTGTTTTGTGTTCCAGTTCTGGAAGGCATTTGGAGCCCTGTGTGGGAGATATGTGCAGATCACCAGCGGGGTTGAGGGGAAGAATCTCTATGCGTTCCTGGACGGCAGAGCAGACATCATGACGAAGGAAGAGAGAAAGAAAACCATCGAGACTCTGGCAGAGCAGTTAGGAGGCACAGCGGCCCCAGCAAT